GAGAGAGAGAGAGAGAGAGAGAGAGAGAGAGAGAGAGAGAGAGAGAGAGAGAGAGACGGGGGGGCGGATTGACGACATTGGGATTCAGACTCAACATTGGACAGACGTTTTGGGGGACTATTTGGGATTGATACCAGCGACATTTGGGTTGACGAAATTTCCATCTCCTTCCCCCTCTTCTTCGTCTCTTCCCCCTCCTCCTCATCTGTGTATGAGCTGTGCCTGGAGCCTTCATCCTTGTGTGTGGTGCCAGGCCATTCACACCAAGTGATGATGATGATGTATGTCCAGTCTGCATTTCGACATTGGTTGGGTCTGATCATTGGTATTCCAATTTGCCGCTGTGCTATCCTGCTCTATCTATGAGAGGTTGGTTCTTGGTTCTGGTCTGTACCATCTCGGTATGTGACAGTGCCCCAGTATTGCAACATGCATCTCCCCTTGTAGCCCATTCATCACACGCCCCCCTATATTCTGTCAATCCAACCTCCACTTTCGAGCGAATACTTACCATGGTTATCAGCTCTTCCTTCTGTCTTCCAATCTCCAAAGGTGGGTTATCGCGCAGTAACCTTTGAAACACAGCAGGTGACATTTGAAAGCAGTCCTGTGAGACACAGTTAAGTTGGCAAGCAAACAACAATCCCCAATAGAACATAGAAGACCAGAAGCGACATTTCTGCAGCAGATTTTGAAGTTCATGGTCATTAGACATCAGCACCCACAAGTGAGATTTATGCAACACACACAATCACCCCTGCAACTTGCGAACCAGTGTTTCCTGGTCAGTTGAACACCATAACAGTGCTCTAGCTTTCGCATATTTCTTATCAGTGCACTGAAGATGCCATACACAAACAAAATCTTCCTTTCGCAAAATCTCATTCTCATTAACCAGATAGCAGGGTAGTTTTGGCGTCTACCAAGATTTTGAATCTCATTCTCATTAACCAGATACCAGGGTAGTTTTGGCGTCTACCAATGGGGGCTATAGGGGGAGGTATAGGAGGGTTATAAGGTGGTTATGGGGGGTTGTAGAGGGGTAAGGGAGGGGTATTAGGGTATTGGGGGGGGTATGAGGGTGTCCGGGAGGTGTATGGGGGGCGTTGGGGGCGGCTATGCGGGTGTTGGGGGAGGTGTATAGGGGTGTTGGGGGGGCCTATGGGCGTGTTGATGAAGTTATTTGGGGTTCTGGACCCCCTTTTTTGTGGGGTGACGACCGACCCCTGACCAGTAGGTGCCGACCAATCAGACGGTCGGCTGGTCGGCCCCCGACAAATCCAGAGGCGTCGACCGTCATCGTGACTACTCTGCCAGAAACAGTACAACACACAAAGTCTCCCGTTCAACTTGTACAGGGCATCCATAGAAAACCCGGAACAGTACAATCGCCTGTCGCTTCCATATCAAGAGTCCTTGCTGATGCATCATTCTGCCATGCTTCTGCCACAGCCATCATCCCAAAGGCCATTTTGGAGGTCGCAAGATTCCATACACATAAGAAACCGGAAACTGTATAAGCACATAAATATGAGAAGCGACCTTCACTGCATAAGCACGTAAATATGGCAGCGCTGGCAGCAGCAACCGCAAATAAAATGCAACCCTATATGAGCATTTATGTGCAGCTAGTTTCCTGAGATGACGGCAATCTAGCCGGGACCCCTTCACTATAAGCAGTGCGTTCACCGTCTCCATTTCCTTGTTCCAGTGCTCCTGAAATAAATTACAAAGCTCAGCTAGTTTCCTGAGATGACGGCAATCTAGCCGGGACCCCTTCACCATAAGCAGTGCTCTCACTGTCTCCATTTCCCTGTTCCAGTGCTCCTGAAATAAATTACAAAGCTCAGAGAAATCAGTCCACTTTGCAGCTTCCAGGAAACATTAAGGGCATAGCATGTTGTTGGCATGCCAAAAGTAATGTAACCCCCACTCAAGAGTTAAAGGAAATATGTCAAGGGTGTGATACCAAATAGGGCAGTCAATTAGCGTGGATAGGATAAGCAAGTGAACTTGTCCTTTGAGACATCCACTAAAAGTGGAATGCTGCAGAGAATATTAATGTAGCCCCTGCACAACGACGACAAATCGGAGTTCTCATGCCAGAGGCTAAGGACAACCATCCCTTCGTAGGTGTCAGCAGGGTTGCATACCTGCCAACAGCCGACCCCGACCGCCGACCATTTCGCAGCCGACCAGTAAGGCCGACCGGTCGGCGGTCTTCCAACCAGTTCGAAAACAGCCATCCACTGATTTTTTTTCAAATCTGAGTTGGGGGCTGTACTGCGTTTGCTGAGTAAAGCCTGAATCCGCTGAGAAACTTTTGGAGATGGGGAGGTATGGGGGGGGTTGGAGGGCGGTATAGGGATGGTATAGGGGGTATGTGTGTGGGGCGGAGGGTGGTATGAGGGTGTTCGGGGGCAGTTTGGTGGTGTATGGGGGTGTATGGGGCTGTATGGGGGTGCTTGTGGGGTTAATTGGGGGTTCTGGAAGATCCCTGACTGGCCAGCTGACCGCTTGGCTGGTCAGCAGCCAACCAGTCAAGGGGTGCCGACCATCAGGGTATGCAACACTGGGTGTCAGAGCATAAACTATGCTGTGGATGTGGCGTTTTCATGCCCGGATGGCAGCCCAGCGGACCTGAAACCCACCCGGCACATTCAAAAAAAATGATGATGATGATGATAACCGTGATATTGATGAAATGATGATGATGATTTCTCCATTGTGCCATCCTCCCCGCGCTGTGTTGTAATACTGAAGATGATGATGATTCCTCCATCATCTACCCGTTCTCCCCCAAACCCCCACTTGGCCCTCCCCAACCAAATTTCGCTAACCATTTGAAAAACGTAAAAGAGAGTCAAGAGACAATTCAAACAGAACTCGGTAGGTGCATAGATGCTCTACCACCTGAAACGAAAAAACATAAGGTGAAGATTTTGCAGCCTGATGATCAGGTGACCTGAACGAGTGTCCAGCCTAGCAAAATCACCAATATCAGCACCAAATACCTGAAAAAACAACAGTTTCAACTTGGGTACAAGGATGACCACACCAATGTGATCAACCAAGTCTCCCCATCAACCCAGTAAACATGGCTAATGGACCAAGTCTTCTCACGAATGCAGCATGCACTCAACGAAGTACTGTATTCTAAAACGAAGGCTTGACCGTGCTAATCATGCTAACATGTAAGCACCACCGTCATCCCCACCTGTATTGAAAACAGCCATAACATTCCAACCTCCCTAACCGCTCCAACGTGGTCGAGCGAGTCTACCCATCAATGCAGTACACAAACGCTGACCTCGACCAAGTCTCCCTGTCAATGCAGTATAAGATTCGTATCCTATAACAGAGGCCTGACCATGCTATCATGCTGACATGTAAGTACCATTGTCATCCCCACCGGTATATGAAAACAGCATGCATGCACAGAAGCATGAGACAACACCACAGCCCTCACCAGCCATGGCATCCTAAGCACCTCCTTAGGTTCAACCGAAAAAGGGTAAGAGTCCCCTTAGCCCACCCAAAAATACTCCACTAGTCATGCCAAATTCTACAAGACCCCTTGCAACACAGTGTGACGCATGGTACCCTGGAAACAGGAACTGAAGCCCACAGCCCGCCCCCTGTGCTTCGAAGCAGCAGCTGCACAGGAATCACACCCAAAGCAAACACTGCCTGAGGCTCATCGTGAGGATCTCACAGATGGCCAAAAGCTGAAACCCACCACTGGAAAGATCCCCCAAGCATTCATCCGGGCTGAAATGGCCATATGCACCACAGAAACTGCATGCAAGGTAGGCCACGTTTGTGTAGTTAAGCGCCAGTCATCCACATGAGAGGGAAGGGATGGGGGGCCCTGGCCCACGTGGACAAGGATACTGGTTTATGTCATTTCTTGCCTGTTATTCGAAATAACCTTCGTCACTTGCCCAAGTACTCTTTCCCACAAATCAGACAGCTGAAAAATTATAACAAGTGTGGAGGCACATATTATAAAGTTTGCCAGAACAAAGGACACCTGGAAAGGGAAACTTGGATCTCCACTGTTATAAAAGGGAGCTGTAACAGCATTCACCATATCTCAGAAAGCAGCTGCTCACTTTCATTTCCTTACTGATATCCAATAATTGCAATTACTTGACTATGATTGATATTCCCCATAAACCAATCATCCAAACTTTCACTTGAAACAACTAAATAAGTAACAACAACGTGGATAAAGATATGTCAAACAAAGGAGAAGCAATACGCAACGCTGTGCAACGTGGTCACTTAAAGGGCATGAGAAGAGGCTACTACGAGAAAACAAACAGATTTCTATTACCTGGCCAGCGCCCGAAGAGCCACTATCTGAAACAGAACAAAAAAAACAGAAAGAGAAACCATTCGGCACAGTGAATTCCTTCAGAGACCTCAGCATAGGAAAGGGATTCAAACTCTTCATTACATTCCACAGCACGGCGCAGAACATCAGAGTGGGATTTCACACCTACAAATCATTCCAAAAGTTCCGCATCACGTCTCCATAGACTCCACATCATACAAACATCATTGAATACCTTCATATGGAGTGCAACTCTCTCTCTCTCTCAATGTGTGAAAATCCTCAGCACTGCCCATCCCTCATTCCCCGCAGGCATACCCCCTTCTTCCAAGCCCCCCCCAAAAAAAAATGCATGCACAACATATTTTCAGCCCCCTCTCCACTGCATGTGGAGCATCTTTCAGACTCCCGTAAGATTCCCCAATATCTGCTACGCATGCAAAGCATCTTTTCTACCTTCCCCCCCCCGCCCACTCACTTCCACCAACAAGCCTTTTGTGTGTAAAGCCTCCTACAACCCTTTCCCAGACTCCCCGATCTCCCCAAAGCTTGTGCATAAAGCATACTAAGAACTTCCCTTTCCCGCACCTCTCCTGATGCCCCACCTCAACTTTCTCACTTTCAGGCATTCAGAGGAGCTTGTCTTCTCTCCCATTCATCCACATTGCCTTTCATCTCACACCTTAAAACTTCAGTATTTTCCTCTATGCACGCAAGGCATCTTACAGACCCCTTGACTCTCTCATTCCTGACTCCCCCGAAAGCCGTTTTGCATGTAAATCACTCTGGAACTTCTTGCAAAAATACATTCGTCTATTTGAATTTTGAAGTCATTTTACAGATATTGTAGTTACAAAATCCATTAGAAATTATATTATATTGCAAGAAACATGAGCGATAGCGAAATGACAGAATTCCAGAATGCAATTTCACATTGAAAGCCAGAAAGTCCAACACTGTCCAGAGAGCAGATATGCACTGATATTCCACCAACGCAGGACCAAAGCACCGAATCCGAATGTCAATGAGAGCACAATCTCGCCACCGCCAACATATGTATCCAGAGCCCTTCCTCCTCGGCGCTCAGCGCCCAGACTACTACTACACAGCTACTAGCAGCCTATAAATTGACAATGCATCCCATTGACGTCAGCAGCAACAACCGAAGTGCATGAAGATGTCGACCTTGTAGACCATCGCCAAGACCTAGTACGTGCCCTCACATCATCAAGCTCATCTCTCTTTTTACCTCTTTTCATCACCCACGTCTTCATTCCCATACACGAAGACCACCACCACCTCCACTGGCTATGTCTAAGCCGAGCCCCGGCTACATGGGGGTGGCTATGAAGGCAGCGCCCTTCCTTCTCCCAGGACTGGACATGCGCGTGCACACTTGCCCCCACTCTAGCGCAGCAGCGGCCCACGAGCGCTAGCTCGATCAGCGCTGCCGCATGTGCTTGCAAGTGCCCCACTCTAGCTCTCAGCCCTGCCCTTTAGTATATGGAAAGGGGTGGGCGCTTGCCTTTGCCTCCCCCACGTGAGACCGGGTTTCCCGTAGCTTAAGTCTCCACGAAAGTGTCTGCGCCCGGGCCCGATTCAGACAGTGGCCTGCGACCGAAGTGGTTAGGCATGCCCAGCCACCCAGGCACAAACGTGCGATGCTCCCCGCTTCGACCACGTTGCTTGAAGAGCCTGGAAGGCTCACGAATATTTTGGACTCTCACGAGCAAGGCGGATAACCAACTGGCGTGTGGCAACTGTCCGCCGCCGACAAAGATTTGCAAAAATTGACGAGTTCAGGGCGCATTGAGATTCAGGGGGGCCACCTTCACTTAGGGCGGGCACGCACCTGCTGCAGGGCCCTATGCCAAGGCATAGACCCTCACACTCCCTCGTCCCTTACTTTGATAGTCCTCTGAGAAGTCGTTACACAGCAGGCTGCTTCCCTTTCAAATTTCGTTCATAGCCTGAGATAATTTGGGGAGCAGTCTTCATTAACTCCTCTTGTGAACCACTGATCTTCTTTAGGATCCGTATGGTGTCTGAACCACACTCGGCACTGCATCTGCGGTTTCAGAGGGCGTCCCCGGCCTGGAGGCTTGGGGACAGGCATGAGCTTGTGCTCGACAATGTCGTCAATGTCCACATGTTCGTCCATGGTTGGGGGCAGCATAGATCTTCTCGAGGGAAACTGCTCAGTTTCAGCGAAGGGTGCCAACTTGGATGCATGGAAAACAGGGTGTGTACAGAGGTGACCAGGTATGTGAATCACATATGATGGGCCATCAGGTTGATCTCCTACTATGTCCAGAATCTCCCAAGGCCCAAAGTACTGTGGCATCAGTTTGTGTGAAATAACCAACTCCTGGCCCAACTCAGATGATATTACCCAGACTCGTTCACCTCCCTGAAATGCAGACAGTCGTCTGTGTTTGTTCTCAGTGTCACCATGGCATCTTGTGCTTTCTTAATATGCTATACAGCCTGCTGCAGCATCTGTTCGTACTTTACAGCAAACTCTAAGCTTCCAGGTGCTGCAGTTGGCTGGTTTTCAGGTAACAGAAAGTCAAGAGCAGATCTGGGCTTCCAACCAAGATGCAGCTGGTTGGGGGTCTTACCGGTAGTACTGTGCACAACATTGTTGTATAGGCTGGTGATGAGAGGTAACTTCTCAATAATATAATGCGGAAGCAAGTGCTGCACTACACGATTCATCTGTTCGGCCTGCCCATTTGATTCAGGGCGGTTCCCTGATGATACTTGCAGTCGGGTGCCCATCTGTTGGCTTGTTTTTTGCCACAGTTCGCTAGCGAGTCTCACATCTCTGTCACTCACAACAGACTTAGGGGACCGAAGTCAGGTACCCAGTTGTGAATGAATAGCTTGATGACATGGTCAACCCCTGTTGTCTCAGGGGCGGTAAGTCTAGCGTACTTACTGAACCTGTCCACAATGATGAAGATGTGTCTCTTACCGCTCTTGCTGGTCACAAGAGTATCCATGAAGTCCATGGACACACTCTCACCAGGTCCAGCACAGATAGGCAAGGGCTTGATAAGCTCAAGCGATGTCTGCGTCCTTGGCTTGTCACGTTAACAAACCTGACAAGTCTCCACATACATTTTCGCATCATTCATCATTGTGGGCCACCAAAATTTTAGCTGCTGTTTTTTTATACCCAAAATGTCCGGTTGCATCATGACACTCACCTAAAAATAGAATACACAAGGACTCTCTATACGGAATACACAATCGTTTACTCCCAGCCTTCTCAAGGAACAGCAAGTCGTCAACCAGCACAAACTCATCGAAATTAGCCTTGCCTTTAGCTTCCAATTTGCGAATGATCTCAAACATGACCACGTCCCCTCGATAGGGTTCCACCATAGATCGAGTTACATTGTCAGAGATTCCAAACTCAGTGACTAGAACGCTTAGATAGTCTGCCCTACACGACAGTGCATCAACCACTTTGTTGTACTCTCCCTTTAGAGGGTCGAGCTTGAAGTCATACATGTCTATGACTTCAACCACCTCTTGAGCGTGTCGAAGAGCTTGGGCTATGTCTTAATCCAACGCAGTGTCTCATGGTCAGATCTCACATAAAAGAATCTGCCTAGGAGGTAGTGCCTCCAATGGACCAGCGCTCTATAGAGGGCATAGAGCTCATGCTCATACGTGGACTGCTAATTTCTGAGATGGCATCTTTTTGCTCATGTACTTTATCTGCCTCGACTTTTTCCCCTCCTTCTGCACCAAGACCTCATCTTGAGTGTGTCGGAGAGCACGGGCTATGTCTTAATCCAGCGCAACGTCTCATGGTCAGATCTCACATAAAAGAATCTGCCTAGGAGGTAGTGCCTCCAATGGAACAGCGCTCTATAGAGGGCATAGAGCTCATGCTCATATGTGGACTTCTCTAATTTCTGCGATGGCATCTTTTTGCTCATGTACTCTATCTGCCTCGACTTTTTCCCCTCCTTCTGCGCCACGACCTCGTCTATGCCATACTGGCTGGCGCCTGTGGTCACAACAAGGGCTGTTCGGGATCCGGAAGTTTGAGGACTTCAGAGTTCAGTCTACTCCCGTGGGGTGTCAAGGCGTGTGAGGTCAATTAGAGGGGAGGCTACCGTGCTGTAATTTTTCACAAATGGGAGGTGGTAGCCTGTCATCCCAAGAACGACATCACCTCAGTCACAAAATGAGGTCTGGGCCAGTCACGTATGCTGGCCACTTTAGCATAATCCAGCCTCAAACCATCCACCTAAATCTCATAACACAAAGCTGTCTTAGAAGCCCTAGCAATATTTTCACGTGCTCAACATGCTCCCCTACAGTCCTACTAGAGATAAGGATATCGTCGAGGTACACGATGATAAACTCGTCCCAGGAGCATCCGAAAGGCGGTTTTATGTTGGTCCTCTCTAATAGCAATCTGATGGTATCCGGACTTCAGATCTATCTTTGCAAAGTACCGGCATCCCTGCACTCTATCCAAGAGGTCGTCAATGAGTGATAGTGGCGCCGTGTTCTTAACAATGATGGCATTGTGGCCCCTATAGTCAATGCACATCCTTAGGGCCCCCACTTTCTTTGGGACAACTAGAACTGGTGCTCCGTAGGGGGACGTACTTGGCCGTATCCAGCCCTTCTCTATGAGCTCCTTGAGTTGGCAGCGGAGCTCATCTAACTCCGCATGAGACATTCTATAGATCCGCCGTCTAAGTACTTCGCTATCGGGGACGACTTCTATCGCGAGGTTTGAATATTGCGCAACAACTACTTCTATCTCAGGGGGTGATTTTACGGCCTCCCCTTTCCCAAAGACAAAGATTAAGTACATACCTTCATCGCGATTTTGCTTGTAGTAGTTATAGAAAGACGACGCACGTATGCAACCATAGTTCTCCACTAGTCTACAAGCCTTAAACTTTTGGAGCCTAACAGTCCTCCCATCTGGCAACTTGTGGATCATCACCTTTCTATCCCAATCGAACTGCGGCTTAGCAACCTTAAGGTAGTG